GGATGAATATCAACAAATTAGGGAGTGTTTGTCCTACCTTTCCCACAGCTCTGGTTCACTCTAACAAGAATCTAGAAGGGAAAGGAGGGAGTCTCTTTCTCTTGTTTCCTGAGGTGCAGACTAGATCCTACAGAGATCACATGCTTCCAGTGCCACATTACAGGCTCCGCCTCATAATCTCTAGTTTTATGAAAGCATGTCATTGTAACATAGAGCACCCCCCAACTCGACAATGTGCAGCCAATAAGTAGCAGCGGCTTAAGCTTTTAAGAAGATTACTCTTGTTTGTTTTTAAACCATCTTTACTGATGGTATGAAACATAAAGCTTTATTGCCCAATTGTATGTAACGCAGCTATATTGTATTTTTGTGCCGTGCTTAGATTAGGTGTGCTGAAAAGGGCCCCACCAGTTTGTAAGTCTGTTTGCCCTCTCTGACCATGGAGGGCCATTTTCTGCTGCTTTTGTGTACTGGAGAATTCCAGAGACATTTTAGGAATATTTTAAAAAATGTAAGTCTAAGTCTTTTTATCGTAAACACAGTGACAATTTCGGCACCACCCTCAGATGTCGCCACAGCTTCCAGAAATGCAGATAGGAAGACATGATGACATGGGATCACTTCACAATGTAATAGAAAATGCTGCTCCAGGCAGAGTTCCTTGTAACTCTTGGCCACTAGTAAGGTTAGGGTGAACCCCACAACCCTGCGCCACTATCTATGAAATTCTCGCTCCTGATTCCAGAGCCTAAGCTTGGAGAGCATTTCTTTTTTCTCCCTCTCTCTCTTCGTCCCATCAAATGGATTAAAAAAGAACGAGCCAAAAATATTGCCCAGGATACAGAGCTTGAAATTAATTAGCTAAAAATAGCAAGCTATCTACATAATTGGTTGGGGGTTTTTGGTAATAAATAATATAGCTAGTAGTTAAATGCTACTTATGAAATAGAAAAAATGATAACTATATTGCATGAGTACGGTGAGTAAAAATTACTGTCAGAAGTTACTTTTGAAGGCATTTTAGCAGAGATTCTTCAGGGCTTGTGTCTTTCTGTTTATCAATCCTAATTGGTAGGGGAAGTATTTTTGATTTTATCTTTTGTATTTTTTTAAAGCCTCTATTTCCAAGATAGAATATTGAAGGTAGTAGATTGTTTCCCTGCATTTTCCCAGATAGGTTTGTCACCGCAGTACAGTGCATCGATATTGTACTATGCACCAATGACTACTTGTGCCAATGAACAATAATAATAGTAATGGCCACCTAGCTACCGAGAAGTCTCAAGTAAGGACAACAAGTTCCTTTTAAACTTCACATCTGCCCAGGCCTGATTCTCACTGAGATTTGCTTTGCTTTTCAAGCTGGCATATGTTAATCACAGCACTTTGACTAGATGATTTTGATATGTTTTGAAAAGCGTCAGGTGACTCATTTGAACTTCATGTTTTTACAACTGGGACCTTGTGTTTAAGGGTGTCCTACTCAGTTCTTGTTACTTAGAATGTGATCACCCAGGGAAATAGATTGTAATTTGGATAGCTGGTGGAGCAGTCTGGTGCGACCTGTTTCCTGTCAATCATATGTTATATGGGGAATTGCGCTCCAGCCCAGCCCAGCCCTGATCCATGCCCAAGCTGGAACTTTTGGTCCAGCTCTATAGCTTTTGCTTTTGCGCCAGGCTGGAGGAATTCCCTGGCACATAGAAGGGTCAATTTAGGGGAGATTGCTCCTGCTAAAGCTGCATATTCTGTTGTGATCAGGGTCATGCAGCCATCCAATCACACCCTCCGACTTGGCTACTAAATGTTCTTAAATTGTATTTTGTTGTTTTTGATAAAGCTGCAGATTCTGTTGCGATCAGGGTTGTGCAGCCATCCAATCACACCCTCAGACTTGGCTACTGAATGTTCTTAAATTGTATTTTGTTGTTTTTATCGAAGGGTGGCAGGAAGGAGAGTTATTTTTGTGGTTGCTATGGGAATATCTAACTTATAAGTATAACGAATTATCTTTGTATGGGTGCCTTTGCTATATCTATAGCTCTCTTTGAGTTTTTATTTGTGCACATATGAAAGGGTTACAAGAAGGTGCAGGGCTACCTCTGTGACTTTGAGGATGACCATTGTGCTTAGGAGCCTTCCCGTGATCAGCTGGTCTGAGATGCACATATGCCTCATGTGCATCACCCGTCACCTCTCTCACACATACTTATATCTGAGGAAGTGGACTTGTTCAAGAAAGCTGACATGAAAATGTTGCTGTTAGCCTTAAGGTGCCACCATGTTTTTCTCTTTATTTTTTTCTTTTTCTTTTGGTTTTGCCCTGATAAGCTAGCACACATCACCACAGCTACCTCTTCTAAGACGACTATCACGCACATTCACATGTGCATAATTGTGGTGGTGGTGCTATGTTAGGGAAACAGCATAAGGAATGAGGGATGAGGTGGGGTGGGATAGGCAGGGAGCTATTGGGGGAAGTGAGAAGGGGCCAAGGAAGGTATGCAGGGGAAGGAAAGTAGTTGGAGGGGGTGAGGTCAATAAAGCAGCATGAAGGAGCTGACCATGGTGTAGTGGGTGTTCTCTGTGGACTTCTCTGCTTTCCACTACCTGTGTTTCCATTTCATTTACACAGCACTGTTTTTATTTGTTTGTTTGTTTGTTTATTATTATTATATTTATACCGGCCCATCTAGACAGATAGTCTACTCTGCCTTTCTGTGCATGGTTTGGTGGTGGAGCATTGCTTAAACATGTAGTATAAATATATTATACAGTGGTGCCTCGCATTACGATGTTAATTCATTCCAGCGAAATCGCTGTAGAATGAAAATGTCGTAATGCGAAATAAAAAAGCCCATAGAAACGCATTAAAACCTGATTAATGCATTCCTATGGGCTTGAAACTCACCATCCAGTGAAGATCCTCCATAGCACGGCCATTTTCGCTGCCCGTGTAGTGAGGAATCCATCCCAGAAAAGAGCAGGGAGCCATTTTTTTAACCCAGTGGCCATTTTGAAACTGCCGATCGGCTGGCCGAAAATAATCGTTTTGTGAGAATCGGTTCCCAAAGCAGGGAACTGATCATCGCAAAGCGAAAAAAACCATTAAAAACTTCATAAAGCGATCGCTTTTGCGATCGCAAAAAGTTCATCATGGTGCAATTTTGTTGTTAAACGGGGCGCTCGTCTTGCGAGGCACCACTGTATTATAATATACTCAGCTGGCTGGGTAGCTCAGTGGTTTAGGCATCTGACTGCAGAGCCAGATGTTGGGATTTCGATCCCCATTGTGCCTCCTATGAGTAAAGCCAGCCTGTGTGGTCTTGGGCAAGTCGCATAGTTCCAGGGAACCCCCAGAAGAAGGGAAGGGTAAACCACTTCTGGGCATTCTTTACCTAGAAAACCCTGAATCTCTATGAGTCAAAATTGACTTGATGGAACATGGTTCTTCATCTTCATAAATGTGCTTAGGAGGTTTCTTTGCTTTGCTTTTGCTTTGCTTTGTCTCAGGTTTTTTCCAAGAGAAAAGGATGGGGCAAAACATGCCACTACATCTAGGGAGACCCTTGGCCCTGCCTATCATGGACAGGGCCTTCTGTCCTACCAGCCGCATTGGGCTGCAATTCATCCCCTTTGACTTCATGTCATAAAGTCTGGGAGAAAAACCAAAAGGGAATGGAAAAGGGTCTCCTGCGCAGGGGCAGGCCACGCTGCTACACTTGGATGCAAGACTCACTTGTTTCATTCTGAAGCCAATGAAAAGAAGCTCTTTTCTTCACTGGAGACATGCCAGAAGCATAAATGACTGATGGGAGGATGTATCTCTTCTGCTTGACTAGAAATAATGGGACAGCCAAAACAGATTAATTTGAAAAATGTCCACTGAATATTTGAAATGAATCAATTTTCATTTCCGATTTGGTCGTTGTTATGCTCCAGCTGTTCTCCTTGTTCCCTCTGTTGGAGGGCAGAGCAGTATGTGTCACACAGCCTGCCCTGCATCCCTTGTACCAGTCTGCCACCTTCAGGTGCCCCATGTGGTGGAGGACATTTTCCCATGAACACTGTTGATGCAATGTTCAGGCGTCAGCTCAGTCAGGTTCTGTACTTAAAATGGGGAGTCTGGGCAACCATTTTGTTTTTTTTGCCTCACCTTAAAAGGTTTCAAGCCAGCCCTTCCTCAATTTCATATTGGCCAAAATCTTACTGATGTTTGCATAAAATAGTGTGTCCAATTACAACTAACTTGGTTGCACAACCAGGCATGTGAACCAGGCACCGGATGGAGAAATACACAAGCATCTTGTCAATTAGGTGCAATTAGCTGCAGCAAGTTACACACAACTTATGCAAACATCAGTATGATTCTTTCTGATCATGGCGTGAAATACATGGATCCGTTCTGGCGGAGAGCAGGCCAGTGCCGGATCAGGAGTACGATACCTACATTGAGTTCTGAATTCTGTCATGGTGTTCACACTCAAGTCTAACCTTCATCACAGAATCATTGTGAGAACAGTTGAGGGACAGATTATATATGCATCCCATAGTGTTTCGGAGAATGTTTATTCAACAAATGTAATCAGCCCATCAATTCATTATCTATGAAAGTGTATTTCCTGGAGAAGATCCAGGAAGTTTTCCCTAACAAGAGTGTTTCCTGGTACATCTTTTTTCCTCTTTCTCTGTTGAATGCCCATCTCTGTGGCATCGCTGTCACTGTGACTTCACCAGCCTCTTCCCTCTGTGTAATCCCCCTGGATATACTCTCCCTGGATAGAATTCCCTCATAATGTGATGTAAAACACACCCACTGGTTCTGCCTCTCTGCCTGCTGAGAAAGCAGTTTTGGTAGAAGCAGGCGTCACTTATTAGCAGGATCCTTGCTTTCTCCCCAACATGCTTCCCCCGCTCTCTCCCTCTCCCCCCCCCCCC